CCACCTGCAGCCCAGATGCCCAGCAGGCTGCCCTGGCTGCCCTGGTGTTCTCCCCCCAGCCTCCACACAGAAGCCAGCACCTCTAGGCAGGGCCCTGCCAGCCTCTCTCTCTCATTCTTACTGTCCATTCCTTGGGGCCCAGGCAGATGGGATGAGTCCTATCATGCCAGAAGGATGCAGAATAAAGAAGAAAACTTCATTTCCTGTGTCACGATGCTTTTTATCCCCACCAAAAACAAACATAACTGACACCCACTCTGTGGGGGGCCATGCAAGCGCCTCTGGGAGACAGAGAGGCAGCAAAACATCCACCCCTGTCTCCCCATCCGCATCCCAAGCCTCCAAGTCTCCTCCCACAAAGGCTTAGGGATGCTCCACACTGAAAGGAAGCATTGGCTGGCTCTGTCATACTGCTCTTACAGCACACTTGGGGAAACTCAGGCTCAGAGAGAAGGGACTTGGCCAAGAGCATGTAGCAGAAATGAAGACCAAGTCTTCGATCCAAGAAGTATGCTTTTGCCTGCAGAGCATGACTATGCCCCAGCCTGCACACGCCTGGCATATGCGCAAGTGTGCCCCCACTAGCCGCCGCTATGCTATGCAAGGGCCCAGGCAAGGGGGCATGGGGGTTTCTATGCTCGGCATCTCTCATAAGCACCTGTCCCAAGGACATGAGGCTCCATCCTGGGTCACCCCAAAGGAGAAGATCGTTCTCTGAGCTGGGTGGGCCCACAGCCCAGAAATACATGTCTTGCGGCCGACCTCTTTCATCAGCCACCCACCTCCCTCCCTGGGGACTGATGCCTCCCCAGGTTACCCGGCATACCCATTCTGCACTCTCCTGGCAGCCGCATGGTTGACCCCAACCCAGGCCCCCTCCCAATGCAGCCAGGAAGAGCAGGAGGGCACAGAGAGGCCATGAGGAAACTCGTGCTGAGCCAACCTTAGGGACCTCACATTGGCGAGCAAGAAAGGGGCCATGCCCTCTGGGGGCAAGGGAGTCAGTGCAGGATTATGGGCTCCTCGCTCAGAAATGATTGGTCGTGACAAGCTCACTGCAGGAACAAAGCCATGTGAAATTGACCTCATCACCAGTGATCAGATCAGATTGTTTAGTGTGAGGGGAATGTGAGGGGGATGTTCAGCTGGGCGATGACCTAGTTAGGGCCTTAAAGAGGCAGAGCAGCTGCCCCACTCTGGGGAGGAGGAGGCAAGAGGCCTCCTGGGGGGAGGCCCCTGCTGAGCTGCAGGTGGAGGAAGGCCGGTTCCCAGGCAGGCTCCGGCCAGGCCACAACAGGCTCCTCGAGCCCTCCAGCATCCCCAGAGACCGTTTTAGAGGAGTAGGGCCTAGCCTTAGGGGACTGACAGACAGTGATAGAGGGGGCCAAGGCAGGAGCCAAGGACAGAGTTTCCATGCCTGTCCAAGGAGAGCAACAAGATAGATCAGAAACTGGGGAAACCCTGAGGCAGACCTTAGGAAACAGGAGTGGTATTTATTTAATGATTTATTTCCTTGTTTGTTTGTTTACTATGTCTCAGGCACTATTCTAAATACGTATATTACCTCAAGTAACCCTCAAAACAACCCTATGAGGTGGATGCTATTATGATGCCCATTCTACAGATGAGCAAATTGAGAGTCAGAGGCGATGTCACTTGCCCAAGTTTACAAAACTGTTACGTGGCCACCTGGTCATGGAGTCTGCGCTTGTTCACAGCTACATTCTACAGCTTCTCGTCTGATGACAGGGTCGGCCAAACGTGGCAGGCCAAATAAAGACGCAACTAGGAAGAGGTGGCCTGTGCTGCTGAGGCCTTTCTTTCCCATCAGGCCCAGGGGGCCCAGGGGCTGGGGCAGGGAAGAGGAGGCCTGTCAGGAACTTCAGGAACAGGTGCCTGCTTTCTCCTTGGATCCTGTTTCCTGACACTTGCCTGAGGAACGGAGGGGGAGGGGGAGGGAAGGGACATGTGGCCAGCCGGGCAGAGCAGGCCCCTCTCTGCCAAGCACCGCCTTAGGGAATATGACTCCTGCTGCCTGAGGGGTACAGGGGAGATGCCAGAACGGGGGGCAGGGCTTCTGGTGGGGCACATGGTGTTAACCCTTTCATCGGCGATATGTGTGCAAAAAGCAGCATAGGGCCTGGTGGCACAGGGGAAGCAGGCACCCACGAATGTGCAGCAAACAGCAGAACCCACTAAGGGTAGGCCAGGGCAGCAGCTGCGGCGTGAAGGATCCTGGTCGGTTGCTGGGAAGAGTTCCAGGGAGGCCAGTAATCTCCTCTTGAGGGCTTGAGGCATAGAAGAGACCCCTGTCACCCCAAAGGGTTTAAAAGCACCTGAGGCCAGTACCTGAGTAGAATCTTGTACGGGGGGCTCCAGGGATGCCAGCTCTGTTGGAAGCTGAGGGGTAGGTGTGGAACTGGTCTGCCAGTCCAGACTCCTGCCTGATTCCATGCAGGCTGAGGCGTCTAGGCTGGCAGGACCTCACGACCTCAGTCTGTTCTCCTGGGGGTATGTAGCTTAAAGGAACTCCTGCTGTTCCCCGGTGCCTGGGATGAGGGGGCTGACTGAATGCTCTGTGCCTCCTTTTCTTTACGGCAACCAGCCTTGAGTGTGCCCCCGAGGCAGGCCTCTCAGCTCTCTGGCTCCCTTCCACCCAGTTCTGTGGGCACCTGGGATCTCTCGTCAAGCCCTTTGGGTCTCGGGCAGGGATGGGCTGGCCTATCTACTGCCCCACCTGCTTTCCAGCCCCTACCTGTCTTCCCTATTTCCTCAGGCTGGGCCAGTTTCCATTTCGCCCCACCTTATCTCACACTGAATTTCTCAGATGTGGTCTGGTGGGGCTTCATTTGTGACCAGTGGCCCCTCCTTGGGATATTCCTGATACTCCTACCAACGCCCTCCCCAGTAGTTGCAACGACTCTAGGCTGCAAGGCCCCTCGTTCTTTTCTGAGAACCCACACTGAGAGGATTCAGGCCCCCAAGGACCTTACTTCTTTGGGGAGACTTCTGAAGGACTGTCAAAAGGCAGAGGGAGTCGGAGGACCACAGTTAGGATCGGCGGATGGCAGCCACAAGGTTAGAGATTTCAGTGCACTTCAGAGAAGGATTTCCTGTCAGGTTGAGCTGTTCTGCAAGAGAACAGCTATCTCAGGCTCTAGTGAGACCCCCGTCCCCAGAGGTGTGTAAGTAGAGGCTGGATGGACAACCACGAGAGATGCTATTGCAGACCAGTGAAAGAAGGGTGGGGCTATTCTATTCCTGGGTCTCTCTCTGTGTTTATTTTTTCGTTGTTGTGATCACTACAGACCCACAGGGGTGTCTGACCTCTGGTCAACTCTCCTCACCACAATATCCGTGCAAGTTCTCAAAGTTCAAGACAGAAACAACAAGGCTAAGAGCAAATCCAAGACATGATCAGAGGGGGAAAGAGAGGAGAAGAGAGTCAAGGAGAAAAGAAAAATAAGAGAGAGACACAGAGCGGGGAGGACAAGGAAAGTGAGAGAGAGAGAGGAGAGACAGAGACAGGTGAAAAGGGGAGATAGAAATATATATATATACACACCAAGCCAGAGGCAGGGAGAAAGTTGAGACAGAGAACTGCTCCTGGATTCATGCTCCTTTGTCTCTTCCAGCAGCTCCGGGGTTTCTGAAGAGCCTTATTCCCCAGCTAACCCTGTAACCCTACCCATGCCTTCAAAGGCAAGGGAGTGGCCCCCAGGGGCAGCTGTGCCTGCTGCGTGGGTCAGGGCCTTGGAACACGCCTGAGGCCAGAGCGCCCCTAGGTGAGACCTGGCCCAGGCCACCAGGCATCTCCCTGCTGCACCTTTGGGCAGAGAGGCTTCCGCTGGGGCCCCAGTGGCTCCAGGACCTGGGCAGCCAGGAAAAGACTCTGGGGGAGGCGGTCTCTGCCTTTACAGGTCTGCCACCCGGCAGAGGGAGCAGACTGGGGTTCTGGTGGCCCCAGAGAGCAGAGCTGGGCCCCCAGGGTGGGAGCCACCTCTGGGAGCATTCGGCTCAATTCTGGGGAGAACTTCAGAGCTGGCAGAGGCCCTTCACAGGGGCCCGGGCGTGCAGAGGTGTGCACGGAGGCTAGTTGGCTGCCCATGGTGGTGGTGGTGGGAGCCTTGTGGGGGAGTGAGACCAGAGAAGTTCAAAGCCAGAGAGAGAGTGACTGATTCTGTGATTCCCATGTCCTCAGCAGGCAACACATCTTTCCAGCCCAAAGGGGAGGATCCTGCTGTGTTACTTTAAATAGCTCAACTTTCTAATAAGGCTTTTATTCACATTTTTACATAGGAATATTTTCCATGGTTCTATCTTAAGAATTTGTATGTAGCTATGTAGTAATGTCTATAGCCATGTAACTATCTATCTATAATATCTGTGTATTTATGAATTTCTACATCTATCTGTGTATCTCTATATCTCTGCATCTCCATATCTCTATATCTAAGTAACTGTGTATCTATGCATCGATCTATCTCTTTGTTATGTATCTACATAGCTCTGTATCCATCTAGGTCTCTCTCCCTTTATAGGAAAGGCTGAGGGAGACCCGGAGAATTTAGGACCCCTGCTGCCTGAGCTGCCCCTCTCCATGGCCACTGCCTGACCTCCCATCCCCTTTCCCACCAGACGGTGGCCATCCTGGGCCTGGGCCAAGGGGTTACCGTGAGGAAATTGGCCAAAGTATGGAAAGCCATCCTCTGAAGCCAGTAGCAGCTGCTTTGCTTGCGTCTGTTGGGGGTGAGGAAGATGGGAGAGCAGGAATAGAGTCGTGGGGAAGTGGGGGGGGCGCGGTGTGGGAGCATGGGGAATGTGAGAGTGGCTGCACAGTCGTGAGTTTTAATTCTGGGAGGCAGAACATCACATGAGTAGCCTGCACTGGCATTCTCTTGCTGTGTGATCTGGGACAATGTCCTGCCCCTCTCAGGCCTTCAGTGTGCCCATCTACACCATGAGCCTCTTGAAGGGTCCTTCCGGAGCTGACACCCTAACAGGGCGGTAGTCCCCACACTTTTAAATCATGGATTCCCATCACTAGAGCATTTTGAGCACAGCAACACAATATATCCACAGGGATTTATTTATACATAAGGTAGTGGTTAAGAACACAGACTCTGGGGCCAGCCCGTGAATATGCATCCTGGCTCTTCCACTGGGTATGTGGCTTGAGGTCTCTTGGCCTTAGTGGTCCCTGTAGAAAGAGGAGATAGGAGTCCTACTCATTGCCATCAAGTGGTTGTGAGGGTCTGGGACAGAGTACATAGATGCAGAGTATATAGATGTTGTTCTTACTATACATGTATTACTTTGCTAACTGATGATGTAGGCTTCAAATTGCCTGTCCAACGTCAAAACTGTTAAAGGATGAGGTAAAAAGAAATAAAATGCTCTCTATATTGCAATATTTTCTTCTCACTCCCCAATGGGTTGCTTAGGACACTTGGTATTGTCACTGTTCTAGAGTTTGCTTGTGATTCCTTCTCTGGTTTTCTACTAGAGAAGCGTAAGTTTGAGGCTAGGCCCCCTAAGCTGACAAGCATGCCAACCTGGACCTGGGCCTGCCTCTCACCACGCAACCACTCCTAGATACACTGCATCTTTCCAGGACTCCTCTCCCACGGAGGGGCTAAAGGTCCAGAAGAACCAGGTTTCCCAGCCCCTGAGGACCAGCAAGGTCTGGGGGCCTCACACGTGGCCCACAGGCTCAGCTGCCCACACCCCAGGACGTCCCCCTCCCCATTCTCCTCAGCCCAGAGCCTAGGGTCGAGGTGTAGCCTCTTCCTCTCTCCCTTACCACAGCCAACGTCTCCACCACACAGCAAGCAAGCTAAGTCCAGGGCTCACAGCCAGCACAGAATCGCTATTTCTTGGATGGGTAATAATGAGAGCTCGCCATTACTGAGCACACATGCACTTTCTTAAGTACTTTACCTGCATTGTCTCTTTGAATCTTCCCAGAGATCCTATGAAGCAAATGCTCTTCTTCCGATTTAACAGATGAGAACATCACCAATCAGTGGGAGAGCAGGGAAACCAGCTGCCAGCAGCCGGGCTGGAGAGCAGCCTCTTCACCCTGTGACAGTGAATGAACAAGTGAGGGAATGGTTTCCCTGTCCCCCTCCACGCTTTCCCAAGGCACCTGCTGTCCCCTTCCTGAATTCTGGGTTTGCTCTGACCCCCAGCCCCCCGCTTCCCCACCCTCTATCTCTTGGTGTCCAGCTCAGTGAGTCTGCACCCCGCCCCCACCCCAGGCCCGGGGCTCCTGTACCCCCATCCCCGCTCCCGGCAGGACCCCCTCCTGGGAGCCCCGCCCCCGTGGGCCGCCGACCCGCAGGTAATCCCCTCCCCCCTTCCTGCCCCCGCAGCTCCAGCCCCTTCCAATTAGCCCTGTCTCGGATCCCCTCCGCTGGGAACTGGCGCCCCCCTCCCGCCCCCTTCCCCACTCCGCTCCCACGTGGGGAGCCCCGCTCCCAGGCCCCGCCGCCCTATTCAAGGCGCTCTCCTCCATTGTCTCCGCCTGCCACTCACTCAGGCCATTAGCATTTCTAAAGCCCGCTTCTCCTGGTCGCCGCTTTGGCCTCAGCCAAAAAGGGGCTCACTTTGAAACAGAAGTTTGGGGAGAGGGTGCTTCCTAGGCTACTAAAACAGCTTCCCTTTAGGCCCTCAACTCTCCAGGCCTCAATCTGCCTATAAAATGGGAAGAACTGCTCTCCCACATTTCGAGGCTTAGGACACCTGGAATTTCTCGGCTTCGAGAGTTGTTGAGAAATGGGGCAGCGCCCTGGGACCCCAATACAACTGCCCGTTCCTTCCCTTGGGTTTCTTGGGCCCTACCAATCTGGATCCTCCATCCCCCGCCCCCCACCCCCCCGCAACGTGCCAGGGGAGATATGGAGTTTTGTCAAAACTGGTTTTCCCTGCCCTAACCCAAGCGGCCTTTGTTAAGGCCCTGGCAGGATGGGGCATGAATGGGGGTGACTTCTTTGCCCTGGCATCTGAAACCTCCCTAAGTAACTTGGGTGGAGAGACAGCGCCACCCAGTGGCTTCATGGGCTCTAAGCTAATCTCGAGGGTGGGTCCTCACATACCTGGCTTCAGGGCCCCCAAGGAGGCGTCTCACCAGAGAAACCCTCTTTACTTGTAGGATTTCTTTTGCATTGGTTTAGCTGCTTCAGATCCAAGGCTAAATAAAGAGCCAGCGGTTAGAGTCCCAACGGGCTTAGCTCAACCTCGGCCCCGCCCCCATCATTCCTTTGGGCTGGCAATGGCCCTTGCTCTAGGCTCTGTTGCCAATGGCCAGTACTTTCCCCTCCCTGGGCCTCACTTTTCTCCATCTGGAAAATGGCAGAATATTCCCTAGCCACCTTCTGCTTTTCCTGGTGGGCTGAGGAAATTTGTGGGCTGGGGAGAGGGTGTAGGTCTGAGAGCCAGCCTTCGAAGACAGTTGGCCACCTGGACCCCAAGAATAGGCTCTAGACCCATTCATACTTCCAATACCCGATCCCTAGCCTTCAGCCCCTGCCTGGAGACCCATCAGCTGCTGACCAGCCCCTAAGAATACCGGGAAAATGGGACCTATTCCTCCTCAATGCCTACTTTGGTTCTTACTCCCTGCTTCTACCCTCTTCCTGCTTCCTCTCCCCTCCCCCTGCTTTTTCCCCTGTGGGCTACAGGATGCCTGTATTTCTCTTCAAGGCTGGTAGGGAGCAAAATAAAGCAAGAGTAACCCCTGTCTCCAATTAAAGTCCGCCACCCACCTCATTCCCCTCTGGGGCCCCTTCTGAGGCTGGTCTGGCTGAAGCAGGTGATGAGGGCAGAGGGGACCAATAATCAGCCCTAGAGACCCAGAGTGCGCTGTCTCCATCGTCCCTCCTGGCCTCCTCCTGTGGGCCCTCCCTCAGTGCGGGTGAGGCAGTGGGCTCCAAGGTCCCTCTGGCTTGGGGAGAGAGAGGAGGTGGATTAGGCCTCTAGTGTCTAGTGTCTGGAGAGAGCAGGGGAGAGGAGGAGACTTGGTCAAGAAGGAAGGAGCAGAGGATGCTCAGCTCCAGTATATAGCATGGCCTCTAAGTGCGGTCCAACCTGGACGTTCTCCCAGTCAGGAGGAGATGGAGAGAAAGAGCTGAGAGTAGTCCCAGCCACGTGGATCAGCAATACAGAGGGTAGGGCCCTGCTGGTCTTGGCCTTTTCTAGCTCTGCTCCAAGGAACTGTAGGGGGTCTGGGGCCAATGGCTATGAGTGTGGGGTGCTGTATTCAAGGGGTGCCCCCCCATCCCAGAAAAGCTCTACTTGATCTGTTTTTTTTTTATTACAGTTCCAGGTGAGATTTTGTCCAGAAAAATTATTCTGCCACTGAAAAAAAAAGTTTAAAAAACCCTGACTTGATACATCCCTGCAGTTTACAAAGGGGGAAACTGAGGCCCAGAAAGGTAAATTGAGGTAGCCCTTGCACTTAGTAGAGGACCCTACACCCACAGAGTCCCCAATAAACATTTGTAGAAAGAGCTATTGAATATCATGATATTCTCAAATAATTTTAAAGCATAAACAAGTTCACTTTCATTTTATAGATAACCATGCTACAAGATCTGCCACCTTTTCAAGCTAGCTACAAAAGCTGTCACATGAGCAGAAACAAAGAAAGTTGGGAATTTACTCAAATGTTGAGAATTGCCTAAAATCATAGCGAACTCTTGTAATCGAAGTGTAAGCACAGGGGTAATTCATAAAATTGTCCTTACCTGATGTCTAAGCCAGGAGGTATGCATATTCTTGTGTAAATTTTAGTTAATTTCTGTCATGAGTTTAACATTAGCTGCTGACGTTTGACATGAAGAAAAAGTGAAAAAGGAAAAGGCTCCTCTTGCTTTGAGGTTGAAATGTGAAAAGTGCAGTGTGAACACAAAGGTATATTCACACCTCCAGGGGTGGTTTGGTCCTGCAGCGCTCCTCATTGTCCCCGAGCCACTACTCAGGTACTTGAGGCCCTCTCGCAGCCCTCTGTGGGCCATTATGCACCACAGAGCAGAGCCTGCCGATGCACAGTGGCACGGATTCTGGATCGTTCTCTGTAGATGATCCCCAGGCAAGTTTTAATCCCAAGCCACTTCCTCTCTCTAGGTATTGATGGGCTATCAGGAAAGTAATCTAATGTTAGGAGCTGCTTGACTAGGACATAATGATCAGGAGACACCATCTACCAAAAATGGGATTGTGTATTTCAAAGACAAATAGAAACAATTGGTAGGCTAGGCTGAGGTTTGAATTATCCATGCCACTGCTTTGCCCCACCCTCCCAGCCCACCTCGCTACGTGCCCAGTATGGATAAGTAGAAAGAGCTTTGTGCTATTGACTCTCATTGAATGTGACTTCAGGCAAACCCCTTTCCTATCTGAGCCTGTCTCTTCATCTGTAAAAAGAAAGTTCAGAGTAAACCATCTATCAAGAAAGTTAAAAGACCACCCAAAGAATGGGAGAAAATATTTGCTAATCATATATCTGATGAGTGTCTAGTATCCAGAATGTATAAAGAAGCCTTACAACTCAAGAATAAAGAGATAAATCACCCAATTAAAAAATGGAGGAGAAAAGTTGAAAGAAGTAGACATTCCTCCAAAGAAGATATACAGACGGCCATTAGCCCATGAAGAGATGCTCAACATCATAGTCATGAAGGGAATACAAATCAAAACCACAAGGAGGGCTTCCCTGGTGGCGCAGTGGTTGAGAGTCCGCCTGCCAATGCAGGGGATGCGGGTTCGTGCCCCAGTTTGGGAAGATCCCACATGCCGCGGAGCGGCTGGGCCCGTGAGCCATGGCCGCTGAGCCTGCGCGTCCGGAGCCTGTGCTCCGCGGCGGGAGGGGCCACAACAGTGAGAGGCCCGCATACCGCAAAAAAAAAAAAAAAAAAAAAAAAAAAAAAAAAAAAAAAAAAAAAAAACACAAGGAGATATCACTTCATGCCAACTAAGATGGCTATGGTTTCAAAAAAAACAACAACTGGGAAAATAACAAGTGTTGGTGAGGAGGTAGAAAAATCGGAACGCTTGTTCATTGCTGGTGGGAATGTAAAATGGTACAGCCAGTCTGTCAGTTCCTCAAAAAGTTAAACATAGAGTTACCATGTGACCCAGCAATTCCACTCCTAGGTACATACCCAAGAGAAATGAAAGCATGTGTCCACACAAAAACTTGTACCTGAAGGTTCATAGCAAAGGTATTCATAATACCCCAAAAGGTAGAAACAACCCAAAAGTCCATCAACTGGTGAATGACTAGACAAAATGCTGTATTTCCAGACAATGGAATACTATTTGACAATAAAAAGGAATAAAGCACTGATACATAAGCTACCACACAGATGAACCTTGAAAACCTAAGTGAAAGAGGCCGAATACAAAAGGGCACATGTTATATGATTCCACTTATTTGAAGTGTCCGAAATAGGCCTACTCACAGAGACAGAAGACAGATCAGTGGTTGATGGGAGCTGTGGGTAAGGGGTGTTGGGGAGTGCCTGCTAGTGGGTACAAGGTTTCTTTTTGGAGTGATGAAAATGCTCTGGAATTAGACAGTGGTAATGGTGGCACATACTAAAAACCACAGAACTGTACATTTTAAAAGGGTGAATTTTATGGTATGTGAATTACATCTCATTTTTTTTTTAAAAAGAGTGAACTATAGCAGTAGTTTACAAATTTGGCTAAATAACATCTACTCCAGAACATCCCACCTTCTGCTTATCCTGGGCCTGAAAGTCTGTATGTTTTACATGCCTCTGTGGTGGTTCAGATGTAGCCGGGTTTGGGAACCATTGGCCTATAGCTCTAACATTCTAGGTCCCTGCCTGTGTCTCTAATGAGAGGTACCTGTAAATTGTTGCACACGGCCCCTTTCTTTGTGGGAGCTGGCCCCCTCTCGTGTTCTGCATGCCCTGAAACAGCCAGACCTCACACCCCAAGAAGGACCTGTTGCATTAGCCCCAGAAACAGACCCTTCTTGTGCTCCTGGGGCACAGGGGGGTTTCAACCTCTGAGGCGGGGCTGCTGGTGTTGACTTTCCCAGTTGTCGGGGGG